AGTAAATCCACTCGAACTAAGGCCGAAGAAACTCTTTTAACTGAAAAAAAGAAAGCATTAGCCGAGTTATTAAAAAAACAACAAGATGCTAATACTAATCCTGCTAAACCAACTGATAAAACTGCTCTTTATATTGGTTTAGGAATAGGAGGAATAATCTTAATCTTTGGTATCTTCATCCTGGCGAGAATTCGCAAGAGGAGGTTGAAGAACTAATTGATAAGTATGATGAGTTAAGTTTTTTAACAAAATATACAAAACAAATAAATAATCAAAAATAATATGGTAAAAGCCCAAAAATGACTAGAAAGTCAATGAGAATATAATACTAAGGAAAAAAGAGCAGAAGTAAGAAAATTATATATTTATGGGAAAAGTCTAGAAGGTTCTCTTAACTTAACTGATTTTATTAATTTAACTGAACTTAATTGTGGTAATAATAAACTTACTGAATTAAACTTAACGGGTTTGACCCAATTAGAGGAAATTAGATGTAGTGATAATTACTTAACTAATTTTGATTATTCAGTTCTCAATCCCACTAAATTAACTTATTTAGATATCGCTGATAATAATCTTCCTGAACAAGACTTAGCAGTTTTTAGTAAGTTGGTTAATTTAGAAGTTTTAGGAGTTGGTAATGGTTCAGAATCAGAATATTATTATTGAAAAAAAGAAAAAATTCAAGCAAAAATCGACCAAGGTATTTATAATCGTTTTACGGGTAGTTTGGAACCTTTAAAAAATCTAACTAAATTACGGGAACTAGACATTAGAAACACTGATATAAATAGTGGTTATGAATATTTACCGGTCAACGTCAAAAATATTTATTTTTCTAGTGAAGAAAGACCCGAAAGTAAAGTTAAAGAAATTGCTGAACAACTATCTTGAATAGACCAAGGTCTTAGTATTCAACAACTAAAATCCTGAATAGATTGTGGTTTGCAACCTCAGGATTATGGTTTTGCTGCTTATCTGACTAAACAAGGTTATACCCCCGAAGCAGAAATTAATTTAGCAGAATTAAAAAAAGAATACTATGATAAAAGCCAAAAGAGCCGAGCATGATTGGATCAGAATTATCCAAAAGAAGGATGGATTTATGAGTATAAAAAAGGAAGAAAAAGAAGTCAAGTAGAAGAAATCTACCTCAATGAACCTAATTTAGAGGGGGAATT